GTCTTAGGAATAAGCAACCTTTGGGAACATACAGTCTGGCAACATCTCCTGCAGTACTGAAGAACCAGAAAGAGAAAGTTTTTGCCACCAAAGTCCTTGGTACTGCCAAATAGCTCAACGTCAGAAACTGATAGAATTTTATCAGCGGGAATGGTATGAAAGAGGCATTAGCATCGATTTTGTGTCTGCACCAACCTTCCATCGGGGGTCTCCCCCATTAGAATGTAAGCTTCTTGAGAGCAGTGGCTGTCTTGACTTTTCTATTTGCATCCCAATTAATAAATGCTTCATTCATTCATTCAAGGAGAAACATTTGTCTCTACGCATATCAGCAAAAGCAGATCATCACTAAATTTAAAGAAGCCTTGGGAAGTTCTCTTCCAGTCTGGATGCATGTTCTGGGAACAAACCCAACCTTTCTATGGTTGACAATATCTAGCGAACAAAGAGCTGTCCCATGAATCCTCAGTCGGGAGTACCGAAGCATCACACCTCAAACCTCCCATCATTCCGTCCTGGGATTTGTTCTCAGCTTAGCTGCCTTTGGGTGTTTTCATTTACATGGCTGCACATATGGATGCATATGTGTATGCATGTGTGTTCACACACAGACATAGGACCGCATGCACCTATGCACAGGTGTATACATATACAATGTGCACGTGTATTGTACACATGGGAATGTATGTGTATATATTCATTAATTCTCCTAATTCTGCATTCTTCACTTTGCACGTTTTCTTCTCAAAGCGTCCAGTTTCCTGATCTACAAGAAGACCCCGGATCGAATACTTCGCTCCCACTGGTCAGAGGTCCTTCTTCCCTTTCACTAGGGCATGCTTCCAACCTCCTGACACGAATCAGCATTCCCTTCTGTGAGGATGCATCCTTTTATTCTCTGAAGTTCTTCACTCATTTCTTAGAGGACCCCTTCTTTGTTTCTGGTAACCTGGACTGTGCAGAGGCACTCCTGAAGCTTCCTCACCTTCTCTTCTGGGCAAGAGGTGAGGATACATTTCAAGCTTGGGTAGAAGGCAAACATCACAGCATCCACGAAAACCAATGCAAAACCCTCCCTGCTCTCCATACATTCTAGAAGCAACATCTTAGGTCCTCTGAAATCCTGACTGGTGGCTCTCGTGGTCCAAGACTTGGGGTGGCTAAGAATGTTTTTTGGGGTATGAAATTCTGATGAGGTACATTCCCATAAGGATAACTAAGAGCCTGGAGTGCTTGGATGTCTAGGTAGACGGTGAGAAGCCAAGGAGCCTAATCTTGGAATACTGTTAAACAGACCAAGAGTAAACGAAAGTGAAGCACTTAGTCTAGAGCTTTGCACATGGTAATCCCATAATAAATGCTTTTTCATTCATTCACTTGATCATTCATTCATGGCAACATTGGAACTCACAGATTAGCTGGTTTTCTCAATTAAAAATGGGAAATCTTAGAGATGCTGGGTCTCGTGGATTTCTGAAGCCTCAAGTAAACTAGCATCAGAAAAGCAATATGGGATTGTGAATGGAATACGGTGGAAAGCAGGCCCCTGGCCTTGACATGATTCAACTCACAACCTTTTTCTTTTTGAATTGGCCTTGCGATAGCATCAGGGGAAGGAGGGGAAAGCGTGTCTAGAGTTTTAGTGCTTAAACTAGGGGAGTCTGAACTCTCAAAAATTTCATGAAGCTAGGAAGGCTTTGGTTACTAGCCCAACAACAACGGTTTGTCGATCATTTGAAGCTGAGGCTGCAGGTCGGTGGCCCAGCGGCTAGAGCCCTGGAAGACCTGGGTTCAAATTTAGACTCAGACACTTACTAGCTGTGTGACCCTGGCCTAGTCATTTATTCGCCTCACTTTCCTCAACTCTAACAGCACATAATTCCTAGGGTTGTCAAGAAGATCAAATGAGATAATATTGAGAAAGAATTCAGCACAGTGCCTGACACACAATAGGCCTACATAAATGATTATTCCCTCCCCTACTCTCCCCCTAGTGTTTATTAAGTACCAACTATATGCAGCGTAGGGTAAAGTAGGGAGAAGCTCATTGCAGAAGACTGGCCAGGAGGCAAATTTCTTTTTTTTGGCCACAGCAACTCATGAATTCATCTCTGTTAGGGAAGGCACTGTGATCTCTGTGGGGACAGGAGTACTCAGACTGGTACATCACAGGTTCAGATCATTTAAAAAAATAGTTTATTTTAAACACTCAAGAAATACAAACAGGCAAACCATACAGAAGTGATCTCAAAATGAAACTGTAAAATTCAAACTATTTACATTTTGATTTTAAAAAGCAAAATACCATATAAACATTAATATTAATAATCTATTTGTTCTTTATGCTCTTGCAATTTCTTTTCAGTCTCTGCATATATACCTTTTCTATGGTCATCCTTGACTTTTTAAAAAATGCAGCCATAGGCTATAATGAGAGCAAGGAATAACAGAGAGAGCTTAGGGCTGCAACTGACATCTCTATGTTAGAAAACCCTGGAGGAGCCCTTCAGCACACTACTCCCCACTCCTACATTGTTTTTTTTTCTATAATTTCAACTGTGATTTCCATATTATGTTTTAAAATTTGAGAGTTCATCATGTTTCATAAATTCTCCTGACAGTCTTATTAATTTTTTCCTCCCACATGAATTCTCTTATGGCTTTAGAAAATACTGACATTCTTTAAATGTCTGAAAGAATTAATTTATGAATGGCCAGTCCTGGTTCTTTATATAGGGGAGCGCATTAATTACCTCATTTCTCCTTCTGAGACTGACCCGTCATTAGCTACTTCTTGTTTGGCCAGCTCGGACATTTTTCATTTATGTAGATGTTAATGCATTTAAGTTCTCATATGATAGTTTCAGGTCATTTTCTTAATTTCTTTTACCTTTTTACACCTATAATTCCTCTAACTTTTCTAACTTGGTAATTTGATTTTCATCAATTTTTGTTTTGTTTTGTTTAATTTTTGTTTTGGCTAGGCAAAATGGGGTTAAGTGACTTGCCCAGGATCACACAGCTGGTAAGTGTTATGTGTCTGAGTCCACATTTGAATTCAGGTCCTCCTGAATCCAGGGCCAGTGCTCTACCTACCGCGCCACCTAGCTGCGCCATGTTTTGTTTAATTTTTGAGGCAGTGGGGTTAAGTGACTTGCCCACGGTCCCACAGCTAGTTGAATGTCTGAGCCTGGATTTGAACTCAGGTCCTCCTGACTCCAACGCCAGTAGTAATCTATCTACTGTGCCACCTAGCTGCCCCCCCAATTTTCATCAATTTTTTAAATGTTTCCTTGACACCTTTATGTTTTTATAACAATCATTTGTCAATATATGCTTCACACACATGCAAGCCACCTCCGCGAACCCTCCCTCATAATAAAGAAAATCCATCAAGTGAAACAGTAATATAGTAACCTTATTTGTCTGTGTATTCCACATTTGGGATCCATAGGCCACTGCCTTTTCCGCTAAGTGGAGAGAGTGTTTCTTCATCTGAACTCTGGAATCAATATTGATCCTTTCATGAGTTCAATAGCCTTTTTGTGTTTCACTCGAGAGAATTGTAGTTACGGCATACATTTCTGCTTGTTCTTTCTTCACTCTATAATTTCATTCATCTTCCCAAGCTTCTCAGGATTATTCCCATTTGTCATTTCTTACAATCGTCATATTCCATTAAATCAGTATTCTGCAGTGTTCAGCCTTGTCCATTTTTTTTTTTTACTGCCACAAAATGTATATTTTGGTATATATGGAACCATATCTTCTTTACAGTAGTGGGGTTCACTGGGGTCAAAGGGAATGAGCAATTTAGTAACTTGTCTGGAATAAACCATATTGTTTTCCAAAACAGCGGTACCAATTCCTAACACCACCAACAGTGCACTCGGTGTGCCTGATGTCCCACAAGGACAATTTTCACCTTTGACAGTTTGCTAGGTGTGAGGTCAAATTTCAGAGCTCAGTTCATTTGCATTTTTTTATTAGTCGTAGGTTAGAGCATCTTCCCATTTGTTTTGATGATAGTTTCTCCTTCATTCAATGCCTCTCCCCACTTATCGACTGGAGAATGGCCCTGCATTTTATTTGGAGTCAAGTCCCTACATATTTTGGAAATTAAATTATCATATGTTTGAGAAAGATGGTTTTCCATTCTATAGCTTCTCTTATTCTATTTAGCTCACGAAAAGTTTCAAACTGAATATTTTATCCCACACTGGAGACAGAATTCTCCTGGAGGTTCTCAGTGAAATGACTGGCTTATTAAATGGCATAATATCAAGGGTTTGAGATAATTGGTTTTTAATAGACATAGATCATGGAGGAGCTGCAGCCTTTTCCTATTCTCACTTGGGGATGGGAGCCTGGAAGCCTTTTGGGCCCAGAGAATCTTAAGATGGTGCACAGACTTGGAAAAGCCTGCCCTGTGGTTAAGAATATGATAAGTCTAAGTTCTATACCAGGGTGCACATTGGGTTTGGACACGTACCGGGTGTTGGCAATCTTGATCCTCACGTAACAAGAGAATCGTTTGAACTCTGGAGTTGTTCTAGGATCTTTTTTGTGGGTTAATTACTTTTTGGAGCTAACTGAAATATTAATTTTGAACTCTGGTATTCTAAGTCCTTGTAACTGTTAAGTAACAGGATATATAAGAGGGTCAGGAATTCTCTCCCACTTTGGACTTGAAGGATGAAAACCCAAATGTGAAGGTAACCCACAAACGTTAAATGACAACAATGCCCAGAGATTCCTAAAGATGCATCTCTTTTTTTTTCCCTTGTGTATTTCCCTAAGTGTGTAGAACCAGAATTGTGTGTGGCTGTCATGGGGAACATTAACTATGTATTTTTCCTATGGATAATATTAATAAAATGCCCAGTGTTTATATCATGCTTTATATTTTGCAAAAGTTCTTTCCAGATATGATGAGCCTCACAACAACCCTGTGAGATGATGAGGAAACTGAGGCTCTGGAAGATTAAGTGATTTGTTAATGGTACCCACATCAGGGGCAGGATATGAACTCAGGTCTTCCTGAAGCCAGTACAGCTCTCTATCCACTATACAGCACCACCTCTCTCGATATGAGTCTTCCCATTCATTATCAGGATGTTTGTATAATTGGACAGTCACTGTAATGCTATCCACAATTCTTTAATAGAGAATCCTCAATCTAGCACTGAGGAACCACATCTCCAATGTGGCTCCCACCTACCTCCTGAATCTTATTTTATGTTCCCCATCACACGTGCTCCATCCCAGACAAATTGACCTGCAATGTGTTGTGCATGCACAATATTCTCTATTCTGAATGCATGCCTTTGCACAAGTGGGGTCCCCTGTCTAGAATGCACTCTATCCTCATTCCCTCAGATAAAGAGATTTCTTAGCTTCTTTCAAAGCATGGTCTGCATACCACTTCCTCTAAGAAGCCTTTCCAGATTCCCTCCTGGGAATCTGGTTTTCTTTCCATCTTGAAATTAATTCGCTTGTCTTTTGTGTCTTCTTCTTTAACGACATGCAGAGACCCTTCCCTAGTAGAAGGTAAGCTCCCTGGTGGGCAGGAACAGCTAATTTTCCTTGTCAACTCCAGCCTCTAGCATAAAGTTCTGTGCATAAACAGTATGTATTTAACAAATGTTTGTTCAATTGAAAATACAGTTTCAAAAAGGGGGAAAGACTTTCCCACAATCAGCAAAATCATGAAACTACTCTCTGGGATGAATTCTTCCACGGTAAAGAAGGAAGGAGTATTGATTAATGGAGTTTCACAGCACTCTGAATTCTCTCACATACAGTAAGATTTATGCTCTGTGTAAAGACCGTTCCAAATTCACAGCCTTCGATTTCCTGTCTCTGTGCCTAGTAAGCTCTCCCTCCTCACTGACCCCTCTTGAAAAGCCTAGCTCTCTTGAAAGCTCAGCTCAAGGACCACATCCTGGAGGAGGCCCTTCCTGATCTCTTCAGTGGCTAAGTTTGTTCCCAGCCCCAGAAATTACATTGTATTTAGTTATCTGTGTACATATTGTTCCTTCCAATAGAATGGAAGCCCACTGAGGTCAGAGATTGCATCATTTCTGTTTTTGTTTCCCCAGTGTCTAGCACGGTGCCTTGCATAAAGTAGGCTAATAAATGTTCATTAAACTGAATTGGACTGAATTCATTACATTTATAAGGCTTCTCTCCAGTATGGATTTTCTGATGTCTTATAAGGTCTGTGCTCCAGCTGAAGGCCTTCCCACACTGATTACATTTATAAGGCTTTTCTCCAGTATGAATTTTCTGGTGTCTAATAAGTTCTGTGCTCCTGCTGAAGCCCTTCCCACATTGATTACATTCATAAGGCTTCTCTCCAGTATGATTTCTCTGATGTACAGTAAGGGAAGAGCTACGGGTAAAGGCCTTCCCACATTCATTACATTTAAATGGCTTCTCTCCAGTATGAATATTCTGATGTCTGATAAGGTCTCTACTCCAGCTGAAGGCCTGCCCACAGTGACTACATTCATAAGGTTTCTCTCCAGTATGAATTCTCTGATGTACAGAAAGGGAGGAACTCCGGATGAAGGCCTTTCCACATTCGCTACATTTATAAGGCTTCTCTCCAGTATGAATTTTTTGATGTCTAATAAGGTCAGTACTCCGTCTAAAGGCCTTTCCACATTCACTGCATTCATAAGATTTCTCTCCAGTATGAATTCTCTGATGATAAATAAGAGATGAATGTTGGATGAAGGTTTTACCACATTCATTACATTCATGAGGTTTCTCTCCAGTATGAATTCTCTGATGTACAGTAAGGTTTGCACTCTGCCTGAAGGCCTTCCCACACTGATTGCATTCATAAGATTTCTCTCCAGTATGAATTCTCTGATGGCAAATAAGGGATGAGTGTTCACTGAAAGCCTTGCCACATTCATTACATTTGTGGGGTTTTTCTCCAGTATGAATTCTCTGATGTACAGTAAGGGATGAGCTCTGAGTGAAGTCCTTCCCACATATATTACATTTATAAGGCTTTTCTCCAGTATGAATTTTCTGATGTCTAATCAGGTCTGTGCTGCGCCTAAAGGCCTTCCCACATTGACTACATTCATAAGGTTTCTCTCCAGTATGAACTCTCTGGTGGTAGGTAAGAGATGAGTGATGGATGAAGGCTGTACCACATTCATTACATTTATGGGGTTTCTCTCCAGTATGAATTTTCTGATGATAAATGAGCTTTGTATTCTGGATAAAGGCCTTCCCACATTCATTACATTTATAAGGCTTCTCTCCAGTGTGAATTCTCTGATGTCTAATAAGATCTGTGCTCCAGCTGAAGGCCTTCCCACACTGATTACATTCATAAGCTTTCTCTCCAGTATGAAACCTCTGATGGTAAGTAAGGGATGAGTGATGCATGAAGGAAATACCACATTCATTACATTTATGGGGTTTCTCACCAGTATGAATTTTCTGATGGTAAATAAGTTTTGTGCTCTGGCTGAAGGCTTTCCCACAATCATTACACTTATAAGGCTTTTCTCCAGTGTGAATCTTCTGGTGTCCAATAAGGTCTGTGCCCCAGCTAATGACTTTCTCACACTGATTATTTTCATAAGCTCTCTCTCCATTAGGCTTTCTATGAAAATGAATAAGGTCTGACTGATAACTGAAGCATTTCCCCCATTCATTACAATTAGAAAATGTGTTCCCTGAGTTGATTTCTGTATGTTTAACTAGGTTTGAATATTGCCTTAAGTTCTTTTCATCTGTATCACATTCATGTTGACTTTCTCTGACAGGACCCTTCTGCTGAAGAGAAATGAACGACTCCAGACTGAAGCTTCTCTCAAATTTATGACATTCTTCACTTTGCCCTTTAGGAAGAGTTTTCTGGGAGGTGACTTTCAAGTGCCCCGAATCACTTTCCTGGTTTCCCTGCTTCATTTCTAACTTGACTTCTCCCAATTTGAAGTCCTGGGGGCTGTGTCTCTCTGGCGAAGATTCATCCATAGAAATGGCCATCTTTGGAAGAGACTCACTGGTTTCAGGCCTAGTCTCCCAATCTGAAGGAAATAAAAAATATAAATATATCCTTTTCCCCTTACTGGCAGAAAGTAAACTGCTTTACACTTTGTCTCACTTTCTGTTTCCTTAACCAAGAATAACCTCCAAACTGGACATTAGCTCACATTTGTAGTCATTTACTTTCCAAAGAACTTTCATATATATGTTAGATAGTAACAGCAAGGCTGGGATCTAAGTAGGGCAGGTGTTATAACTTTATAAATAACGAGGAAACTGAGGCTCACGGTAGTTAAGTGACTGCTAAAAAACAGAATTTTCAGACATCACATCAAGAGGGACAAATTAAGCTCCAGTATTCAAGCTCAAAGTTTTACGTCCCACTGAACTTTTAAGAAGATTGGTGATTGATGAGATAGTTAAGCTTTAAGAAATCAATGTCAAAGAATAGGGACAAGACTAAAGACAGACATATCATAATTTGGAAAGAGAAAATTCTGACAACTGCCAATAATAAGTTTCGACAGAGATGACTGATAAATTTCTAAAAGTAGGTTACAAAATAGTTTGAAAATAATTGAAAAGAACTGGTACAAACCAACCATGTCACATCTAGCTATTTGTCCCTAATGATGGGCGTTTTAGCTATTACATGAGAAGAATAAAGTAGTTATAACATGTGCAGACTATGACATCATATATGATAAAATCTTTCATGCTGTTTTGGCAGATGAAGAAAGTAGAAAGTGGTTTGGATACAGTAGGCTAAAACAAACTCATAAACTGTTTAAGCTATAATGCCCAAAGGGTTTTGACTAATGGGTTGATGCCAACCCTGAATGAGGTCTCTACTATCACATAGATTGGCTGTGTCCTATTTGACAGTTACCAATGACTTCAAAGAAGACATGCTTTTGATATTTGCAGATGACGCAAAGCAAGATTGATATCTAACACACTGGAGAACAACAACAAAAACATTTCAAAGAATATTTGAGATAGGTACAGTGCATACACGCAAAAGAGATAACATTAACAGGCATAAACCAAAGGTAGTCCCGAGAAAGCATCGGCACAAGTACTACATAGAGTAGAAGTGGTTTAGTAACCAGACATGTGGGAGGGAAGATCTGGCACTTTAGTTAAACCTCAATAAGAGGTAAGATATTTGGTGAATTTGGCTAATTGCAAGCTCAACATTAGGTTTTTAAAAAAGGAAGAATGAATTACAGAAGCATCAGTTTCATGGCAGTTGAGCACTTTTGGATAATGACAAACCACTTGCTGTCCCAGGAGAATTAGAGAAGCCTAGAGATGTGGAAACAAGGTCTGATGAGAAAGAACCCAAAGTAGGAAGGACAACATGTTAATGGAGCAGAGAACACAAAAGGGGGATGCATCATCGTCATCTTTAAATACATGAACAACAGTCATGTGTCCGTGGAAACAGCTTGCAAACAAACTGTGTTGCCCAGTACACAAAGCTTTTCTTCAATAAATGCTTATTAATAAGCCATCTGCTGCGGGCATTATTGTAGGTTCTGGGTTACAAAGACAGAAACAAAATTGTCCCTGCTTTTGAGGAGTTTCTATTGCTACCCCAAATTATGGCCAAGTGGAGACCACTAGATTTGTGCAAGGAAACGAGAGTAAGAATGGTTATGAACCTCAGAAATTCTATTTCTGAGTAGGTGCCTCTTTATAAGTATCCTGTGGAGTCCACTGTTCTCTGCCCTTTAGTTCAAACACTCTGGGGTGAATTTTATGATTCTCTGAAATATTATCTTCAGCCCTTTTTTATATTGCTTTTATGGAAGAAAAATATTTTGTAGATTCTCTTGTCAAGCTCTGTCTTCAAGGTCGGCTGTCTTGACTTGTTCTCCAATCTTGCTGTCTTCTGACTTTGTTCTAATTTGTCATCTATCTCTAGAATTCTGAGCTGTTCCTTTTCTATTTTCTTTTTCAGAGTGTCCTCTACATTAGTAAAACTTGCAATAGCTTTCATTAAACTCCTTATACTGTTCTTCAATTCCTTTAGCAGCTTTTTTCAACCACTCTAGGGGTTCTTATAACCAACCATTCCATTTCCTCTGGGGTTTTAGCTAGTCCTTCTACAGAATGAGTCTCACAGTGATTCTTAACTTTTGTCTGCTTTGCATTCTTAGTTGTTTTTTTTCCTATGGTGATTTTTTTTTATAAAGACGTCTTTTCTTTCCCATTTTTCAGGTGTTCTTTAGTTGTACATGGTGGGTTTCTTACTGTTTTGAGGTAATGAGAGACATCAGGACTTTAGTTGGGATCTCCTGCTCAGCCACATCAATGAAAATCTCATGATCTGTTTGTTCTCTCTGCATTATTTTGTATCCTGCTTCCCTATTTATTTTAATTCTTCTGACTGGTCCTGAACAATTGTCTTGTGTATCCAAAATTCTACAGAATGAAACAGTCAAAACCAAACAAAAATCTAGCCATTGCCTCACATCACACTTCTTTACATTGACAGCTCAACTCAACTCAAGTTCCCAAAGTGAAAACAAATGACACAAGGATTGATTTCATCTAGATTTTTGTCTGCCTTTTAGGAAAACAAAACAGAAATATCTTTCTGTTGTCTAAGAATGTAAGTTAATAATGAAAATACTATTCAAGGCTGGATTCCTGTTTCTTCCTGGCTACTCGCAAGTTTTTTCTCTTTAACCTGGAAGTTAGTGCTGATAATGATAACAGTAAGGATAAACAATAAGACTTATTAATATTAATATTATACTTGATATTTTCATGCCTAGAAAATCTAGTTTCAAGTTGTACATGTCTGGACCATGGTTTAAACTATAGTAATGGTGGGCTCCTAGTCAGGGAGAGTAATGAGGGAAGGTAAATATTTGCTTCACGTCTTACAAACCTAATAAAAAGTAATTTAGACTGAAAAAGGAAGGAAAAGAAAACTGCTCATGGATTTCACCAATCTAGATAGCATAAAGAATAACTACAACATATAAAAAGTAGCTGTTGTGACATATAGACATTCACAAGAGATAAAATCCAAGAAAGGAAGTTAATAAAATCCATGGCATCAGATGCCTATACATAAAAGCAAAGTATAGGTAACAGGCAAAATGAACTAGAGAGCTAACCCAAGAAGGCAAACCTGACTTCTTCAGAATCACTGAGACTTAACAGGATGAGATCCATGACCAGAGACTATGGCTCTGAAATGGTATAACTTATTTGGAAAAAACAAAAACAGAAACAAACAAAAAAAAACAACTTGAGAAATAAAAGATGGTAGAAATGTTTATCAAGATATACTTCAAGCAGAAAATCCAAGAATTGTAAGATGAGAGTATAGTAAGGGAGCATTCAGGCAAAGATCCACATAGTCAGAGATAAGCAATATTGTCATGAGAGTATACTACAGAATGAATATACTCTGGACAGGAAGAATAAATTACCAGAAAAGAGATGCCCAAGACTCATGTAAAGGCATAACTTGGAATTAACTGGGGAGTCTGGGGGAGTTTTCCATCACATGCAGAACAACAAATGCTTGAGTGACTTGCTTTAATAAGTACACCCTACCAAAGGTGGTAGGGAAGGACCAAAGAAGGAATTCTCTTCTGCATCTGATTCACATCATTGTGGAAGAAGAGACTGACAGAGTGGAAATGATGGGAATCTTGGGGATTTGTGAAATGACCATTCCGTATTAGAGGTTATGATAGTGAAAAGACAGAAAATCCAGTAGCAGTCTGGCATGCCTCCTAGCTTTTGAGAGGGTAGAATTCCAAGCATGAAAGGATACACACAGCAGCTTAGAGTTGGAGAAGATGGACGTGCACAGAGGATGGAAACAAGGTCAAGGAATGGAAGACAACCATCACAATGTGTCACCATCCTGACATTTCAGGAGGGCTAAGGTTGGTAAGTAAAGTGAAAGAGAAATGGGTTAGCTGTATCAGGGAGAAGAGGACAACCTATATAGGGCATCACAGCTCGGAATGGATGGGATAGTCACAACTGATCCTAAAATGCAGAGCTGCTAAATTTCTTATTGGTCCATGTTCCCTGCCAAGGACCATGATCTTTGGATTGGAAAGAAATGAATAAATACAGCCCATAGGCCCAGGATAAATGAAGAGATAATGAGAGAAACAAGTGTCCTTGATGACTTGGTCCAGATGAACTACCTATTTGGGTATTAAAAGCTATAGATATAGTTGGTGTCAATAATTCTTCAAAAGTTATTTTTTTAAATGTTCACACCAATTATTTTCGAATACAGGCTGCCCCCTCAGTAAGCCTTCCCTTTCTAAGAGGAAAAAGCAGTTAAGCAATGTTTGATGATCTTAGGAAAATCATGGATTCATACAGAAATATTGTAGGACTGGAGAAGAAATGTCCATTTTTTTTAAATAAAGGAAGAGACTAGAGTCTAAAAATTATAGGCTGATCTTAATTTGGCAAAATTCTAGAAGAGAACATTAAAAGGGCAGATAACAATTTACATCTGGAAAGGAAGAATGCTAACAAAGTGTTGGCCACAATGTATTTTCTGCCAATAAATCCTATCAAACTATCCATATCTCCTTTTTTGACAAAGTCACTAGACTGGCACATCAGGAGAATGCTTTATAGAGTTTACTTAGACGTTAGTGAAGAATTTGAGAAAGAGTTCCATGCTATTCTTGGAAAAAAGATGGAAATGTATGCTAGACAACTTGACAGATGTGAAACAGGTTGAATGAAAAGACCTACAGGGCACTTGTAAAGTGGATCAGTGTCAATTTGTGAGGTCTCCAAGGATCAGGGCTTGTTTGGGTATCATTTAACATTTTTATCAAGGTATAAGATAAAATCACAGATGGACTGCTTACCAAATTTGTTGGTGACACAAAATGGAGAGAAGGTTAGCACGGGAAGACAGATTCCAAAATCAGAGGATAAAATTTAGTAGGGATAAATGTAAGGAATTTGCTAAAGTCTTCTCACATTGATTACATTCTGATGGTTTCTCTGAAGTTGAAGACTGGTGGTAAACAAA